CACTAGAGCTCCCTCCCCAGGGTCTGCATTCAGCTGTGTGTGTGTGGGAGGTGCAGACCAAGACTTCACTGGGCAGCTCCTGATTGGGGCCTTCCACCCCAGCTCTCATGGTGGTATCCATTCCACTGAGGCCACTCAAACTGGGCATCTGTTGGACTCCACCCACTCCTCCTCTTCCTTGCTCCTGGTGGTGTGTTCAGGACGCCTGGTCCATTAACCTCCTGCATGCTGCTGTCTGCTGTAGAGGCGGCTTCCCAGGAAATCCAGCCTGCTGGGACTGCCAGATTGCAGCTGTTCCTACTTGATAGCATATCTCTTGTGAGAAATTTAACTTAAGGGGGAATATGTTATAAAGTTCCTTTCTGAAATCAGCGTTCGTCCTCCTATGCTGGATAGCGTATCTCTCTTGTGAGACATTTAACTTTAAGAATATGTTATAAAGGTTGCCTTTCTGAAATAAGTGTTCGAGATTGGTGGGCATGCTGATTACCGCCTGATCTGATTGCTATACATTTTATGTATCAAACATCCACTCTGTAACCCCATGAATACGTACAGTTATTGTATTGTCGATTAAAAGGTTTACACAATTCAAAATAAAAAATAAAATTCCCTTCTGATTCCTTCCTATTGTACGATTAGTTGCCTTGTCCCCTTTCTTTTTATATGGTACTCAAAATGTAAAACATCTCAAATGGTAAACATTCATAAAAATCTGGAGGTTAGTTGAGGTTTTTTTTTCTCCCTTTTCAGATCAGTTTGAGTTTTTTAAAAAGGAAATATATTTCTTATCTGTGTACTTCAAAGTACTGGTATTAGAACAGCAAAAGGGAAGGCCAGGCGCTGTGGCTCACCTGTAGTCCCAGCACTTTTGGGATGCTGAGGCAGGCGGGATCATGAGGTCAGGAGTTTGAGACCAGCCTGGGCCAATCTGGGTGAAACCCTGTCTCTACTAAAAATTACAAAAATTAGCCAGGTTGGTGGTGCACGCCTGTAGTCCCAGTTACTCAGGAGGCTGAGGCAGGAGAATTGCTTGAACCCGGGAGGCGGAGGTTGCAGTGAGCCAAGTCGTGCCACTGAACTCCAGTCTGGGCAACAGAGTGAGACTCCGTCTCAACAAACAAACAACAAAAAAACAACACACACACACACACACAAACAAACCAGGAAAGGACTCTAGAAATCCCTTCTGAAAATAGCTGTCTATTCATTCCTCCTTCATCAGTGAATGTTTAGAGTCAAGATGGCAGGCTCTGCACGTGCCACAGTTGGGGCTGGAGTCCTGGTCTGTCGCTTTTCAGGTTGCCTACTCTTCAGGAGGTGACTTAACCAGCTGGCACCCGGTTTCATAATCTGCAGAATGAGCCACCGTGCCGACTGAGGTGCTTGAAATGCCTCATATGATGTTGAAACTCAGCACTTGGTAGCAGAATGTTATTGTTGCTGATAATCTTAATTCAATAAAATAATAATAACTGCAAACACACGTTTTGCAATGAGGAAACATACTCAGGAAGTTTAAGAAACTCCCTGGGCCAGGCCACGGTGGGCTCACGCCTGTAATCCCAGCACTTTGGGAGCCTGAGGTGGGTGGATCACGAGGTCGGGAGATCGAGACCATTCTGGCTAGCACGGTGAAACCCCGTTTCTACTAAAAATACAAAAAATTATCTGGGCGTGGTGGCGCGCCTGTAGTCCCAACTCGGAGGCTGAGGCAGGAGAATGGCGTGAACCCAGGAGGCGGAGCTTGCAGTGAGCCGAGATTGTGCCACTGCACTCTAGGACCCAGATCTGCCCTCTTGGACTGTTAGGAGGTATGCTTTAGCCCCAAGTAGTACAGGTAAACAAACGGGGGTAGGGAAAGCTTTGGGCAAGGATTTGATTCTCAGTTTTACAGATAAAGATTAAGCAAGACCCATTTGAGTTAAGTCTCAGTTCTAATCTTACCAATTGAAATCTTTAGAGTGAATGTCCGTTGTGTAGATGGATCAGCTTTGTACACTATGTATTGATATTATCCTCTTACTAAAATAATTTATGTCTTTCAGAAAGAAGATGAGATAGGCAGATACCAAGCAATATCAGTTATTCAATAAAGTACCCGAATGATTATATTATCTCTCATTAGGGCTGTGGAGTTGCAACAAATCTAATAGTATATTTTATATATTATTCACATAAATATAAATGTATTTTACATATACATTTAAATAAACATGTTAAATATAGATTTATGTGTGCGTGTTGGGTGTTTTGTTTTGTTTTGTTTTGTTTTGTTTTGTTTGTTTGAGACAGAGTCTCTCTGTCACCCAGGCTGGAGTGCAGTGGTGCTGTTATGGCTCACTACAGCCTCGGGCTCCCAGGCTCAAGGGATCCTCCTGCCTCAGCCTCTCAAGCAGCTGGGAGTATAGGACTGCGCCACCATGCCTGGCTGATTTTTTGTGTTTTTGGTATAGATGGAGTTTCTTCATGTGGCCTAGGCTGATCTCGAATCCCTGGACTCAAGTGATCCACCTGCCTCAGCCTCCCAAAGTGTTGGGATTACAGGCGTGAGCCGTCGTGCCCAGCCTATGTTTTTAGTTATGTAAATACATTCCTGTAATTCAATGGAGAAGCTCCACTGGATCATAAGTGTATCAGAGGAGGGACTTTTGGTGTTTGTTGAATCCAGCGTTAGATGCTCAGTAAGCTTTTGTGAGTCAGTGAATGGGTGTACTTCTTCACGCTTGGAGGCGAAGTGTCGGTGAAGAGCACTGTGTGTGTGAACTTGCTCATGTGCAGATTCAGACCTTCCGATGCTGTGCCTGCACTCATGTTTTCATGATGCTAGAGTTTCTTCAGCGTTTCTGTTTGAACTCCCTTATAATATCAGTTGATTTGTTGTGTTGAATGCAGTGCTATAAAAGTTCCAAGGACCAGCAGCCTCAGATGGAACTGCCGCTGCAAGGCTGCAACATTACGTACATCCCGAAAGACAGCAAAAAGAAGAAGCACGAGCTGAAGATAACTCAGCAGGGCACGGACCCGCTGGTGCTTGCCGTCCAGAGCAAGGAGCAGGCCGAGCAGTGGCTGAAGGTAGGTTGTCTGCTGTGTTTCGCAGCCATTTCAGTACCACGTGCCTGTCTGAGATCCATTTTAATTTTAATTTTAATTTTGTTCAAGCATAGGCAAGATGGATTAACCCAAAGAGTTTCGTCTTTAATAGCTAAATATTCGGATGATGTGGAGGTTAAGCAGAAACCCGTGTCACTTTCAATCTTATATTTAAAAGGCAGTTTGTCTCTGTAGGCTGCTTCTACGACTTTCTCTTTTACTTTTATTTTCTACAGCGTCACTTTATTGTGTCTGCATATGGATTCTTTTAAAATTTGATTCTACTTGGGATTGGCTGGGCTTCTTTCTAAGTTTTGGGAAAAATTTTCAGCCATTTTCTTAAAATACAGCTTTTCCCCATTTCTCCTTCTTCCCTGAGACTACATTTAAATATATGTTAGACTTTCTCGCTATATTTACTTCTATTCTCTTTTGTATTTACCAACCTTTTTTCTTTGTTGAAACAAGGCTTGGCTCTGTTGCCCAGGCTGGAATGCGGTGGTATGATCTCGGTTCACTGCAACCTCTGCCTCCCGGGTTCAGTCGATCGTCCCACCTCAGCCTCCCAAGTTAGGTTGGATTACATGCCACCATGCCTAGCTAATTTTTGTATCTTTTCTAGAGACAGCATTTCTGTATGTGGCCCAGGCTGGTCTCGAACTCATGAGCTCAAGCGATCCGCCCACCTTGGCCTCCCAAAGTGCTGGGATTACAAGTGTGAGCCATCATGTCCAGCCCTACCATTCTTTTTTCTTCTTTAGCCTGGTTTATTTTTCTTGTTACTTTCCAGCCCATTATTTCTCTCTTTGGCTGCTTCTAATCTGCCATTAAATTTGTTCCTGTTCTCTGGGTTCTTAATTTTGGTGATGGTAGTTGTCTTAGTCTACTTGGATTGCTCTGATGAATATGATAAACTGAGTGGCTTGTATACAACAAATGTATTTCTCACAGTTCTGGAGGCTGGGAAGTCCAAGATCAAGGGACTGTTCCATTCAGTGTCTGGCGAGGGCCTGCTTCCTGGTCCACAGATGGCACCTTCCATCTGTGTCCTCATGTGGTGGAAGGGACAAGGCAGGTCTCTAGGGCCTCTTTTATAAGGGCACCAATCCCATTCGTGGGGGCTCTGCCCTCATGACCTATCACTTCCCAGAGGTTCTGCCTCGTAAGGGTTAGGATTTCAGGATATGAATTTGGGGGAACACATTCCGTCCATGGCAGTAGTGTGCAGTCCTGGAATCTCTAATCTTTTTGGTTTTTGTTTTAGAGTTCGTTTTGGCTTTTATCTAGAATTTGCAGTTGTTTCTTCTTCAAGCTGGAAATACTATTTGTGCAGTGTTAAATTTCTTTTAGAAACGTTGACTTTTGTCTTCATGAATGTCATCAGCATGGTGGTTTGACAGTGGTTTTGGTGGAGTTTGAACCTGGTTCTGTTGTCTGTTGTGCTGTTCTTGTTCAGGTCATGTTTGGCATCCTTGTGCCAGGTTATCGCAAGTTCACGCTAGGCATTATATTAGGGGAAAAATTATTGAAATAATTTTTTTATAACAGCGTTATTGAGGTATAATTCACATACCGTAAATTCACCCTTTTCAAGTCCAATTCAATGTTTTTTTTTTTTTTTTTGGTATATTCACTGAGTTGTGCAACCATCACCATAATCTAGATTCTGAATTTCATCGCTCCCAAAAGAACATTGTACTGGCTGGGCGCAGCAGCTCATGCCTGTAATCCTAGCCCTTTGGGAGCCAAGGTAGGCTGATTGCTTGAGCCTGGGAGTTTGAGACCAGCCTAGACAACATGCAGAAACCCTGTCTCTACTAAAAGATACAGAAAATCAGCTGGGCATGGTGGCACGTGCCTGTAGTCCCAGCTACTCGGGGGACTGAGGTGGGAGAATCACCTGAGCCTGGGAGGTTGAGGCTGCAGTGAGCTGTGACTACACCACTGTACTCCAGCCTGGGTGATAGGAGTGAGACCCTGTCTCAAAAACAAATAATGCCGTACCCATTAGCAGTCACTGCCTTTTTGCCACCACCCCTGTCCATCTTAGGCAGCCACTTATCTGCTTCCTGTCTCCGTAGAGCTGCCTGTTGTCAGCATTTCACAGAAGTGGCTCTTACAGTGCATGGGCTTTTGTGCTTGGCTTCTTTCACTTAGCGTCGTGGTTTCAAGGTCCGTCCATGTGGAAGCAGATTTCAGTTCTTCCTTGCTCTTTATTGCTTCTTGGGTCATATGTAAGAAATGGTTACTTGATCCAGGGTCCTGAAGGTTTACATGTATACTTTATTCTGAGAAGTTTACAGTGTTAGCTCTTATATTTAGACTTTTGATCCACTTGAATTTAATTTTTTGCCTATAGTGTGAGGTAGGGGTCCAACTTCATTCTTTTTCCTGTGGGTCCCCAGTTGTTCCTATGGAAATAACTTCATTCCTAGAACTCTGCTTTCCACTACCAAGGAGCATTTTCCCTTGCCTCTCCCACATGCGTGGGGGTGTTAGCACTCCAGAATCCGTTTATTCTAAATTCAGGGTTTGAGGTTTTCAGAGTCACCCAGGTAACTTTAAGGCAGCCCGCGGCCCATTCAAAGGTAGGTTTCTCTTTCTTTCAGTTCACTCTTAACTCCAAGTTACATTCCGTTGGGGTCTCCGTCCTGCTTGTGGGTGTTTTGCCAGGGGCCCTGTCCTTGGCATGCCCTGGACCACAACTTGGATCTCTCTTCCCACTGAGCCATTGGAGGTTCTCCCTTGCCCCTCAGCTGCCCCCTTGGGATGGCAAGGCAGCCCCAGCCACCAGGCTTCCCTTCTGAATTTCCATCTTCTTCTGGATTTCGGCGCAGGCATTGCTCACTATCAGGCATTTGGGTTGGTTCCACATTTTTGCAATTGTGAATTGTGCTGTTATAAATATGTGTATGCAAGTGTGTTTTTCATATAATGCCTTCTTTTACTCTGGATAGATACCCAGTAGTGGGATTGCTGAATCGAATGGTGCTTCTACTTTTAGTTCTTTTAAGAAACCTCCAGGTCGGGTGCGGTGGCTCATACCTGTAATCTCAGCACTTTGGGAGGCTGAGGCAGGCAGATCACAAGGTCAGGAGATCGAGACCATCCTGGCTAACATGGTGAAACCCTGTCTCTACTAAAAATACAAAAATTAGCCAGGTGTGGTGGCGGGCACCTATAGTCCCAGCTGCTTGGGTGACTGAGGCAGGAGAATCGCTTGAACCAGAGAGGAGGAGGTTGCAGTGAGCCAAGATCACACCACTGCACTCCGGCCTGGGTGACAGGGGGAGACTCCATCTCAAAAAAAAAAAAGACATCTCCACTCTGTTTTCCATAGTGGTTGTACTAGTTTACATTCCCACCAGCAGTGTAGAAGTGTTCCCTGCTCACCACATGTACACCAGCATCTATTATTTTTTGATTCTGGTTGTTCTTGCAGGAATAAGGTCATATCACATTGTGGTTTTGATTTGCTTTCCCTGATCATTAGTGATATTGAGCATTTTTTTGTATGTTTGTTTTGGCCATTTGTATAACTTCTTTTGAGAATTGTCTGTTCATGTTCTTAGCCCACTTTTGATGGGATTGTTTGGTTTCTTCTTGCTAATTTGAGTTTGTTGTAGATTCTGGATATTGGTCCTTTATCGGATGTATCAATGGTGAAGATTTTCTCTCACTCTGTCGGTTGTCTGTTTACTCAGCTGACTGGTTTTGCCATGGAAAAGCTCTTTAGTTTAATTAAGTCCCAGCTAATCGCATTTGCTTTTGGGTTCTTGGTCATGAAGTCCTTGCCTAAGCCGATGTCTAGAAGGGTTTTTCTGATGTTATTTTCCAGAATTTTTATAGTTTCAGGTCTTGGGTTTAAGTCCTTCATCCATCTTGAGGTGATTTTTGTACAAGGTGAGACACGAGGATCCAGTCTTATTCTCCTACATGAGGCTAACCAATGATCTCAGCACCATTTGTTGTACAGGGTGTCCTTGCCCCACTTTATGTTTTTGTTTGCTTTGTTGAAGGTCAGTTGTCTGTAAGTATTTGGGTTTATTTCTGGGTTCTCTATTCTGTTCCCTTGGCCTATGTGCCTATTTTTATACCAGTACCATGCTGTTTTGGTGACTATGGCCTTATATTATAGTTTGAAATCAGATGATGTGATGCCTTCTTTTTTTTGTTCTTTTTGCTTAGTCTTGCTTTGGCTATGCGGGCTTTTTTTTTTTTTCATATGAATTTTAGGATTTTTTTTCTAGTTCTGTGAAGAATGATGGTTATCTTGCTTTTCTAATTGTCTTCTTCAGGAAGATTGGCCCAACCCACCTAGTCCATCATTGCCGGCAAGTACCTGTTGTGAGAAAAGGGCTCAGGAGTGGGGTGGCGAAACACTTCATAGCAGTGGGTCTTATACCACGCAGGTCTCCCTCCATCAACCTTCAGTCTTGTTCACTGTCATCCGCAGGAAAGCATGTGGTTCAGACCCCATGATAAGACCAGTAGCTGCCACCGCTGTCTGCCAGCTGCTCAGGACACACACATGCTTTCTTTTTCATGTTGTTGGCAGTGACTGTGGCTCTTCCCACATCTGTATCATATGGGAGATTGAGAAGAGCTTTTTTCCCCTCTGGACGATCCTTCTGGAAGTCCTGCGATTGGGAGTTTTTACTGTGGAGTTTTCTTAGCCTTCCCAGCATAGAGCTTTAATATGTTACACGTCAGCCACCACCATTACCAATTTCACTAAAGCCCTTTACATTCACAAGGAACTTCTCTGCCATCATTGTCTCTTAATCTCAGAACAGGCGTGTGTAGTTTCATTTGTCAACTGACAGCCTGAGTCTCAGGTGGGCTAAGTGCTACCATGATCGATAAGTGATCAAGCAGGGGGTCCAAGTCAGATTTTCCTGGCTTCACATTTCATTCTCATTGTGTTGGGCCATCTGACAGTTTGCCATTCCCTCTTTTATTTCACATTTCTGTGACCATAG